TAAATATTATTATTCCTTATATTTATCTTATATAAAAGGGACCATAATGCTTGATTTTTTCATGTCAATGTAGGGAACATATGATCCACATTAAGACCATTTATCCAAAATTTAGAAAGAGAACATAGTGGCTGCAAAATAAGCACACTAGCACTTTCATTCAATGGCTACACTTTCTGGTATATATGTTATTGAATGACATATTGAATGACATATTGAACGACATATTGAACTTTTAATTTTCTTTCTTTCTATATGTTAGATTGAATTTAGATATATGATTAATTTGCAGGTTCAAAGTGAACTTAATGAGGAAGAGAATAATGGCATACCAGAAAATTTGAGGTGGCTAGTGGCTGGTCCAAGCATGGTAGTGCCATCATATATGAGCTATTTTATTAATGGTGTTAAATTTAACACCAAGGCATAAGATGATGTGCAAACTGTCCAAAATAGTGGAGTTTATTTACTTGCACATACTATGCAAGTTGCTAGTGCTAAGGATAAAAACCCTATTGTCTCCACTATGGGGTTTTAGTGCTAGTGCTAAGGATAAAATTGTCTCCACTATGGGGTTTCATGGTGTTATTCAAGAAATTTGGGACCTTGACTACCAAAAGTTTAGAATCCCAGTTTTGAGATGTGATTGGATAGATAACACTTCGGGCCTTGTAGTTGACGAACTTGGATTTACCCTTGTAGATTTGAGTAAAATTGGACATAGGAATGACCAATTTGTTATTGCTTCTCAAGTCAAACAAGTATTTTATGTTGACGACCCAATGCATCGTGGTTAGTCAGTAGTGTTTTGAATGCCTAATAGAGAATATAATGATGTAATTGGTGATGATGTGCTAGGTGATATTACAATTGAGTGTGAGCCATTTACAGGAGGGATACCAAATGTTGACACATTTGATGACCTAGTGCGTGAGTTTGGGAGTGAAAATATTAGAGATGGGTGTGAAGATATATGGATTGATTGATTGTTGTAATGTAGGACATTAGTTACGCAGTTAATTGTATGTCATTAATTAATAGCTCTGTATATCATTTTAACTATGATCACACTTTCATTATGTAGGCTTTGGGCAAGGCAAATAAAAAATTTAAAATATTGGATTAAAAGTGTAAAATACGATGGTCCAATCGAAAAATTGGAAAAACATACGTCTTAAATAAGAGTAATGCTACACTTACCACATTTTTATCCCACATTTCTATACCACATGATGTGGCATATCCATATTATATCCCACATCAATTAAATCAATGAAGTGTATTTTAATTAAGGCAATTAGAAAAAAAAAAAATGGAATAAATGACAAAATAAAAGAAAATATCAAATAATTTTAATTGATGTGGCTGAACAGCTCAGCTGCCACATAAGATGGTATAAAGATGTGGTATACAAATGTGGTAAGAGTAGCATTATTCCTTAAATAAACCCAACGTCGTAATTTTACAATTGTTGTGGAAAGAAAATGTTGTACCCTGTGTTTCTAGGATTGTATAGGATTTGACGGATCGTGAATCAGAGTCCCGGATACTCTACAATCGCTAACCCTGGGGCTAAATAAACCGTAATCATCCAATCGTGCGATCGTGATCAATCCGACTGTCCGATTTGAGTTGACCTTGCAGGACATGATTATTAAAATGTGTAGAACCTATATGAAATCTCAGATTGATAATTGGAGACCCCATGGGGTCCTAGGTTGACCAATATGGAAATTTATCTCTTAAAGAGTCTCGAGTCTTTTCAGACCGTTCTAATCATTGGAAATGCTTAAGTGGGCATAAGAATGGTCTTAGACAATGTGCACGTACTTTTAGAAGCGGGGGGTCAGGGTTTTGGATTAATTGATTATGTTGAGCTATTTTATTAATTAAATATTTGTAATGGTTTAAATAGGTACTCGGGCTCCATCGGACCCGCAGGAGGGACCCTCAAAGGTTCAAGCGAGCTCGGACGCTCAGTGAGTGGACTTTTCTTTTAAAAATAATTTTATGCAATTAATTTTCGCTATTTTATCTTGAATAAGTTATTATTGACTATGGCTTTCTAAGCATGTTTAATTGGATTTAAATGTTTTATTTATATGCGGCTATGTTCGGAATGATAAAGGGCTTGGAAAGAAATGAGGTGATTACTAGAGTGAGTGGTTCGATGAGAAATAAAATTACAGTTTTTAACAATGGTAGCAGGATTTAAGGATAATTAAGAAATAGTTTTATAATCTTTAATCTTTTTTCGAAATATATTTATTTTAAAAACCACCATAAGTTACCAAGGTTGCCTTCAGAATAAATTGTTGCCTTCAGATATGACAATGTCCACGGACATCCTAGTTGCCTTTGGTTTAGTCAATGCGTTTGACTTTTCCCCAAGAGTCCTAGGGGTACCTGGACCGTGCGGAGCGAGGAATGTAGATTATAGGGGTGGGCGTGGTCCAGTTCGGCCCAGTTCTCACCTCAAATCGAAACCGAAACCGGTACTATTTAAGCGATCTAGTTTAGGCAAAAAAAATTTCAAAAACTAGCCAGTTCGGTTATGACCAGTTCGGGTTTTGAACCAGATTATTAATTTATTATTATTTTAATTTTTTTCCCAAATTTTTTTTAAAATTTTTTTTTATAAAATAATTATAATAAATAACTTATTTTTTTGGCTTCAAAATTAACAAATAATCCAATTCATACATTTAGAAATTTTTTGAAGTTGAATTTGGAAAAATAGTGATTATAAAATTTAAAATATGGCATGAGATTTTACAATTTTGTAAAAATAAAAAATAAAAAATATATGACCGGTCCAGTTCGGTATGGTCCGGTGCGGTGGGGTGTAAAATCAAAACCGAAATCGGTTGGAACCGGTTCGGTCCGGTTTCGGTCCTGTTTGTTGACTGTTTTGGTCAACCGGTTATTTTTCCGGTTATTTTTCACTGGTTCAGTTCGGTGTTCCGGTTTTCCTGTCTCGATGCCCACCCCTAGTAGATTAGGTTGACTAAATATTCCCTGAATCCTGCAAGGATTGCGGCTCGGGTCGACTTTGTGTTAACGAAACCTGCGAGGATGTGTCACAAATGTGGCACGAGGAATTGTCGGTTTAATGTGGGAATTGATGGAAAACTAAGGAATTAGTGGATATATTAAGGGTACACCTAGGTGGGAGGAAGTTATCACTTTTCAATATTTTCAACTGCTTTGGATGATTTAATTAAATGCGAAACCGATTTTATGTATGTAGATACGCATTTTGATTTTGATACCAATATAGAACAATGATATAACTGAGTTTTACTAAATGTTTTTACAGATGGGTAGTATGTTCATATGCTATTTTCTAAAACTTTATTTTTGGTCCACTCACATTTTTCAACATTTTGTGCCCCTAGGCAGTAGTCGTGCACCAAAGCGCCACCACAGGGCAGACACCACACTCCGCTCCACCTTTTCTTTCTGTAGGATTTCTTTAGTAATTGAATTGTCCTGCTATAAATTTCTGAACTAGTTGCTCTAATATTGCCCTAGGATTACTGTATGGCATGAGGCCACTTATTTATGGTTGAAGTGTCTGGATGTAAATAGATGCATGCTGAACTGTTGGGAATATATATATATATATATATGTTTGTTTAACAAGTGAAATTTTTTGGGAAATGAGCTTTTTATAGAGGAGACTCTGCTGAAATTTTAGGCATAAGTCAAATCTGAAGTAAACTTGGTTTCTAGTTAGAAGGGCAATTTGGTCATTTGTGCCCGGCACCCGCCATGTGTCAGACACACACAGGGTTCGGCTCAAATTCCAAAGTGGAATCTGGGTCGGGTCCTGTCACAAACATTGGCCGCTGCCGCTGCTTCAATCTGCATAGATTAATGGTCCGAGCTAATTAGTGAACCGGCTTGTGACCTTTCCACATTTAACTGGGGGATATTGCTGGCCCTCATCTGTTACCCTCCCTATAATTTGAAGTACTTTTGACTCTCTTTCAAAGTCTTTTTCATCTTTCTCTCATGGTACTTATTTGCTATCGGCCGCTCGCTCGTATCTAGCCTTGGACGATGAAGGATTCCTCGAAAAGTTAAGGATTAGTAATCCTTTTTAGAAATCGAATGGATTCGGTCTTATACATACGCGAGGAAGGTAATCAAAAAAGAAAGAACTATGTTTTTTTGATATTTTATTATATTTCATATATATTATATATGAAATATATTTTAATTTTTTTATATATTTTTCCCCAACCGAAAAAAAAAAATTATTTGCACCCTCATAACTCAAGTTGAATAACTTACCGCCTGATTGGGGCTGCATTCCCAAACAACCCGACTCATCGACAACGCGTCTTGGTGCAACATGGTTCGAGCACAACGGGTCTCTCTCCCTATCCGGTGCCACCTTCCAGTGGACTTAGGTCCTTTCCACCTTTGAGGATGCTTCTCCAAACTACAATTCGGACGCCATGGCGCTCAATTCTGAAATTGGGCTATTCCCGTTTCTTTCGCCGTTATTACAGGAATCCTTATAAGTTTTTTTTCCTCCGCTTATTGATATGCTTACATTCAACAGGTACTGCCTGACCTGGAGTTGCGTTGAAAACAAAACTAGAGTGAAGCATTTTTTCAAGCACTCAATGCTCGATGACCGCACAAGATAAGCAACCAAAGTTTCACAACCACGGATTATCGTGGTGTGTGTCGTTGAGGACTTTGTATTTATGCCAACTGCAGGACGAAGTATCGCATTTCACTATGTTCTTCATCAATGCGAGAGCCGAGATATTCATTACCAAGAGTCATTTTGACATATTTGGAGATGATGACGCTGCTTGTGAACACCGTTTCCGAGGCAAGAAGGAGTGCTCTCTCATTCAAGTTCCTTGGCGCAATTCTTTTAAAAGCAACCTTTAGGTTGCTTTTGAAAGCTGCTTTCTCAAGAAGGGGAGAAAAGCCTTTAACAAATATTTTTAGTACCCATAATACCATCATTAAATTTTTTAAATGACATCGTCTACCACCAATACCACAACCATCACCTCAACCTCCACCACCAATACCACCACCACATCCTTCACCACCATTACCGCCACCTCACTTCCACCTTCTTCCCCACCACCACCACAAGCACCATCACCACTCACTTTCACCACCCACATGTCACCCTTGATCTAGAATTTAAGAGCATTTCCAAATAAGGGTGTGTCATATCGTAGTAATAAGAGTAAATTCCTATAACCATGATATGATGAGAAATAGAGCCAAACATCATATCTAGTTTATTCATTGTCCACAATTACAATAGTTTTACTAACACCACTTTAAAAATATTATTTACCAAACATGGACAACAATCCCAAACAGGCTCTAAGGACCCGTTGGGACTCCTTCTATAGAAAACACTTATGCTAAAGAACATGCTATAGGTGATTCTCCAGAAAGTATTTTTGAGGCCCAAACCATTATATATGTATACACATAAATTTCTTTCAATAATACGAGTCTACGCAATATTGGACAGGACCTGCCCCGAATTCCTCGGCATCAGCTACAAATCCTGTAATATTTCCAACATCAAACTGATGCCTGGCCCAGTTACTAACGTCATAGCCTCTTTTCCAAAAAAAGGAAAAGAGGGTCGAGACTTTTTGTCGGTATTTCAGCAGAGTTTTCCCTGAAAAATGGACATTTCCCAAAATTTTCAACATGTTAAAACATAATTATAAACCCAACCAGCAGCATGCAGAAAATAGAAACATGCAATTTACATAAATGGCCTCCGGCCTTACATTCAACCCTAACATGGGCAATAACAGAGCATATCTAAGAAATTCAGTTACAAATGAAAATAGAATTCAACGGAATCGAAACAAGTAGAAGTTTGCCCTACAGAAAGTCGGGGCTTGAAAGTTCAGGTCTCGGCTTGGCCGCTCGATTTCAAGTCTATCTACTGCCTAGGGGGCACAAAACAGAAAATTGTGAGTAGACAAAAAAAAAGTTATGTTATAATTGAAAACAACATATAATAACCCCACCGTTTGGAAAACGATGCAGAAAACATGCATTCATAACCGAGATAGATATAATAACTAAACCAAAACCAAAGTGAAATCCAAATCTCATAATGATATACTAATATCGATCTCATTCAAAACCTTTCCCATTTTCCCCAAACCACTCTCTCAAAACGCGTGCCCGTTGGGGCGGCGAGCGAGGAAAGATCCTCATTAACAAATAAGAATGAATGTATAGGTACATATATAAATATAAGTATGACCACTACCAAACTTGCATCGGGAAAACAATCCAACCAAGGGATTGTTTGAAGAATCCTCAATTGACCATGTGGCTAGGGAACGAGCCCTCCAATTTAGGGACTGAGCTCAACAGCACGTACAGTAGAATCCTCAATACTCGTACTCCTATGGCAAGTCCTACGAGCTCAGACTAACCCCGCTAAGGGTCTACGAAACACCCCATCAAGGGTGCCTAGGTTCCGACATATTCAAGTATCCCAAAAGTTTCCAAGTATCCAAACCATACATTCCAAAACCGTGGAGGTACATAGGGTTGTGCTAATAGCACTCTAAACTGACATAAATCACAACCCACTCTCTTTCCATAATCTCATTCCCAACAACCCCATGTACCCAACACATGTCCACGTATAGATAATAATTTTCAAAAACAAAAAAAGCATATATTCATTCAAGATAAATCACAATCCGCAAATATTCGAATATATATTTCAACTTCAAAATATACAATAACTCAAAATCAAAGGACTCAATATGCATATTTGTCCATCCTTCATAATAATGAATGTTATTTAAAAACGAAGTCCATTCACAGATAATCCCTAGCTGGCTGACCCTGAGAGGGTCCCACCTATTGAGTATGGGGTGCTTGAGTACCTACTTAAAAATACGAGAGCTAGATTAAAATAAAATACTTCGAACGAGAACTTTAAAATAAATTCCTGGTTTTTCCCAGGATTCCAAGTGTGTGAAGGACGAAAAAGGAGTTCCTAAGGTCCAACTACATGTTTTGAATGGTGGAATAACTCAAAAGATGCTTGATCAATCGAGTGGTCAAACTTTCCAAATTTGGTCAATCGGCCCATCGGGGTCCACGACCTACGATTTCAGATTTGAAAGTTTATACGGCTTCAATGAAGCTTACTAAACACGTCTTGCAAGTTTGGTCCAAATTGTGGAGTCGGATCGCTCTCGATTGCACGATCGGATGGTCACCGTTTTACGCAACACCGTTTTATGCAAACTTTAAGTTATTGAATCAGAGCATCCGGGACTCCAATTCTCAATCCACGAATTCCTACACGATCCTAGAGGTACTTATATCAACATATTTTGAAAATGGAGTCGATTCAACTGTCCGAACATATCGAACCCGAATAACGCCTAATATGCATAAATCCGATTGACCATCAAATGATAACCAAATTCAAATCCGAGCATACCTTCGTGCTTGGGAAGACATGGGGATCATTTTAGGACCAAATGGGCCACCCAAACATGGCCCACGTGCGACCACACGGGCCTGCAGCAAGTGAGTGTCTTGAGAAAATTTTGGTGATCAGAAAATTCTCGAAACACCCAACGTGATCAGGACAATGAGTGGAGCAACTTTTGTTTTTAGGCCATGGCCAAAAAGTGACAGGAACTTGCAGGAAACTGGAGCCGAAAATCGGCTGAAACTTTGAGTTGGAAAATGAGTTTCAAAACTTCAAAATCAATCCTAACCAACCCAACCATCAGCTAGATCACATTGAAAGGATGAGAAAACATACCTGGATCGACAAAAATGGTGGTCGGAATTGTCGAAAACGACGATGGAAGTTTTGGGTAAAAATCGGCAGTTTTTCTGCGTTATCCGGCCGCTTGGTTGTCGAGGATGGAGCAGGACGAAGAGAGGGAAATGAGGTCGTCATTTTGGTACCGGCCCTGTCAATAAGGGTGCCCAAATGTGGTGGTTGCCGGCCAAAACATGGCCAGCTGTAGAGAAGGAGGGTTTCATGAGAGAAGGAGTTATCGAGGGGGGGAGAGAGAAAGAGATTTGAGTTTTAAAAATTTAACTTTGAAATATTTACGGTTGTGCTACTATACTTCCATTGATCGTAACTTCTTCGTTACAACTCCAATTTGAGCCCACTACGTGTCTACAAACTCATATTGACGCGCGCTACGCAACAGTATAATTGATATTTCCAAAATCCTACCGAATTATAAAGTGACCAAAATGATCATTCTCCGAGGGCAAAATTGTAATTTCATAATTAAATAAATTTAATAATAAATGAATAAATAAAAATTGGGTCAGAATGTTACAACATCCCACCATGATAACAAACTTTCATCTTGAAATTGCCATCTTATGGTACAATCTTACCTACTCTAGAACTATAATCATAAGTTAGCTCTTGGTTAGGTGGAATGCTCTTCTTAGCGAATAACATCATGTGTGGGATTCTCACATCATCATGATCATAAAGGATACTTTGGCCAAACAAATTAGGAGAAGAACTATGATTGACAAATCTTCCTACGTTCCCATGTTGTGTGGCATCAATGACAAAACCGTCTCCGAAGAAATTTGGTAACATAGGAAAAGTGACATGTTGAGAAGCATCTTGAAAAGCATGGTCAACAAATTTACCGTTTGTCCAAAAGAAATACTCATCACTCCCCCTTCTTCGTTTAACTTCTTTCTCTTGAAGAATTTCTCCTGCATACTCACATATGAAACTTCCACATGGAATATATGATCGTGATCTGACACCCCATCCTTTTGATTTAGTCCTAAAGACTTCAAGTTTAAATTGAATCCCGTGTTGACAAATTCTATTTTTGCTAGAAGAGGACTTACATGTAGTACCGCAATCGTAAATAAGGGATTTCCTATCTATTATTGTGTTGTTGGATGAACAAACCCCTCCAGTGTTCATTACACAAGGACATGACTTGCATTCTAAGCATCCATGAAGGCAATCACAACCCCTTTGTTTTGTTGCCTTGAAGAAATTTGGATAAATCACGTAGCGCGTGTAATTGAAAGTTGGATGACTCTCGCTATCTATTGCATTGACCACACGAATAGGCATCCTTCAGAGATATCATTTTTACAAATAATATCCTTTGACACCATAGGCTTTTTTGACTGTTTTGAAACTTTTTCCCATGTGATTATTGGTTGCCTCGGTATCCTTTTCAACAAATATTTAAACACGAGTTTGCCGAATTCCCCTCTTTCTTGCCAAAAATGCTCGACTTTGTAGAGACCATCGTAAACATAAGTTGTGAAAGAACGTTTATTAGCACATGTAACCACCTCAAAATGTTTAACGGCGCGAATTACCCTTACATGAGTTCGTACTTCCATGCTATTCTTTAGTGCAAGGTTTCCACGTTCAAGTGTTTGATCCTTCGGCTTTTTACATTCAACCCTAGGATTTCCACCTTCACCTGAATAAAACAAGATATCAGAAGATCCTACATGGTTAGCGTAACGGCCAGAATTAACAATGCTTGTTGCCAAAATTTTCCCATCCTTCTTCATATACTCAATACCACGCCGAAAGTTATGATGGAGGCCAGCAACAATTAGTTCAGCCCTGTTACGAAACTCGTCACCAACCTCAACTCCTGGAATCGGTCCTAATTGCTTCCTCATGTTAACCAATTTTCCTTTCTTTCTCAGATGCATTACTGCTTCAATATCAGGCCTCCAACAATCTAGTTTGTTGGCTTCACTACCATGTTTTTGACGGAGCTTAGTTAATGTCTCTCGATATTCATCCAAAGCCTCCTTGACATTATGAATGATTCCATCTCTGTCATCAACTCTCGTCCTCTTTTTGTTGGGAAGAAGGCCGACTTTTCGTATCTCAAGTGTTTTTTCCATAAAGAGCTAAGATTCAAAAGTATTGCAGGAACGCCCTACATAGAAAGTATAAAGTAGAAACGGACCCAACATCAACTATGCTAATCTAAAAAGCATTGCATATACACCATAACTGGTAGAACACGCAATTGAAAATTTTACTTCCAAGCAAAGTAATTAAAGTGCTCTCTGGAAATTAACAATCGGAAACCAAGGTCCACAAGGAAACAAATTACCACATTTGTTCCTCTTTCTTAATTGAGAGGGAACCGCTCATTAATTATTCTTTATGAGTGCTCAATTTACATAGATTTTGAACCACAAAAATATCAAGATACATAGATGACCAAATACTCTTTTATTTCCCTAACAGTTTGTAAAGATAACCCTTGACCTGAGTCCGATACAAATAGATAGTTCAGATCAGAGAGACGATTCTCAAGTCAAGTGAAGACCTAAACTTACGGATTTGTTTAAAACCTTCATCAGTATTATAATATTTACCAGTCACAATGATATATTTTAAACCCCCAAATTACCGGTCACAAGCAGAGTCATATACGAGAATCCAGAAGAAACAAACCACTTTTGGTTTGAAACCCAGTTTAAATAAGTGATTTATGATACGAAACAAAAGAAAAACTATGCAAATTTATAATGCAAGAGCATCACAAACGTTGAAAGCAAAATAAATACTATATTTCACATCTAAAACAAACATATGAAGAAGAAATAGTGGTACAAATATAACTTGGAAAGAATAAAAATACCTGGTAAAGTAGAAACTAGAAATCGTGGTGCAGTCTCTCGCTCTCTCTCCTTGTTTATGTTTTGAAAGTCTTGGTAACTGTATCTTCTTCTGGTTTTGCGCTCCTCTGTTTCTTCTGTTCCGCTTCTGTTTGCCTCGGTTTATATATGGGCCTTCGAAGAGCGTAGGGTTTCTTAATTCCCAAGTTTAGAAGGATTCCTTGGAACTCACGACTTTCCTGAATTTACCACTAGGAAAAGTTTACCTGCAAATTGCCACGTGGACATTCCTGATCTAGTCAAATTCTACAGGAATTAGGCATCATATAGGTCCTGTTTACTATGTGTCAAATTGCTCCATAAATCATCCAAATTTAATATTTTGTATTTGACATCTCACTTTGAGATACTCTAAATAAAAGCATTTGGGTTAGCCAAATGGTGAGGGAAAGACTAGTTAATGGTCATCCATTAGATATGTTAGTGAATTAAATATTTTTGTTTTAAAATTGTGTTGTATATACAATTTTCCTGTTATCGTATTCCTTGCGCCCCTTGTTTCCTCCTTAACTTTGTGACATGTGGCACACAACTTAACAGGAGTTTAATTATGTTAATTGACAGGACCCGACCCAAATTCCACTTTGGAATCTGAGCCGAACCCTGTTTGTGATCGACACCTGGTGGTTGCCGAACACAATTGACTTGGTTGCCCTTTTTGATTAAAAACTTAATTCCCTTAAATCCTGACTTCTACCGAAAATTCGGCAGAGTCTCCCCTGTAAATTAAACGTTCCCAAAATTTACACATGTCAGCAAGTACTTAAATATATACACCAACTGCCAGTATACAAAAATAAGTAAGTTCCAACAGTTAAATACGTTCCAGGGCAATATCAGAGCATCTATACATGTTTATTTACAAAGGAGGTAACCGTTGTGAACCAAGGAACCCTACATCAAACTGGGGAAGAGTAGGAAGCGGGAAATGTCTTGTGGTGGCTCTCGGATGCACGTCTACAGCCTACAGCTTGGGAGCGCAAAACATTAAAAAGGTGAGAGGACCCCAAAATCAAAGTTTAGAAAATAAGTAAGAACATACTAACCCCACAGTAAAAACACAATTATACAAAATTAACTCATTTTCTTTATCATATACATGCTGAAATCAATGTATTCATGCATTATATACCAATCACATTCATGGTTAACATTAATCTTGTAAAGCATTAAAATCCGTTTAAAACTACCACTTAGGTGTACCCTCTATTTCCGTCAATTCCTGATTTGCCATCAATTCCTGATATCCGTCAATTCCCCTGGCAGGTCTCGGTGACACAAAGTCAAACATCTGTATATCTGGGTACCTAAGGTGGCTTAGAAAATAATAATAATAATAGTAATAAGCAAAGTTTGTTAAAAGGTCTGATAAATAACGGAATTTCTGTTAAGGCTGGACTCTGCTGCCATTTATCTGATGTTTAACTAAAATTCTCTTTTCCTATATCTCTAAAGGATATTCCACTCGGCAGCATGCAAATCAAAATATTTAAAAGCATGTCTCACTTATAAAACATTATTCTTTGAATAAAACTTATTCAAGATCAAATACTGAAATTAAATTGCATAAATTCATTTATGAAAACAAAGAGTCCACTCACACTGTTGGTCTGAGCTCGCTGGACCTTTGGAAAGTCCCTCCTGTGGGTCAATTGGTGCCTGAGTGCCTGATTCAAACACCATAATAAAATATATTAATAAAACTGCTCGGTATAAATATTTAAATAATACCCTGACCCCCGGCTTCTAGAAGTGCGTGCATCAAATTAAAGTAATTTCTATGCCGACATTACGTTCCTTTAATCCTAGGACATTCGTCCCGTGAATTTAGTTTCGATCGGACGTTTAGATTCGTCACGATCACACGATCGACGATTCTAAATCCTTAACCTTAGGGTTCGCGATTCCGGAGTATCCGGGACTCCGATTCATGATCCGTCGAATCCTACACAATCCTGGCAAGGTCTAGATTAACATATCTTAAAGTGGTCACGATCCAACGGTTCAAAACTATTGAACCGGATAACGCATACTATGTAAAAGTCCGCTTAACACTCAAACGACATCCGAATTGAGATCCGCGAATTTCTACACACTCGTGAGTATACTAGGATCATTCTGAAACTGAGAATTGTCCCCACCAGACTGCCCACTCGCCGCCACATACACCGGCAGTTTGGGTGGCTTGAAAAATTTTCGACGGCCGGAAAAACTCCAAACTGCCGGCCCAAACTCCTAACCTAGATAAAACACCCAATTTGGAACCACTTTTGTTCTTGGACCTACCCCAAAAAGTGGCCGGAATCCTACCCCCAAAATCGGATGAAACTTAAGTTGAAAATCGAACGCTCTACGCTTAAAATTTCTGAAATCCTACCCAACCAACAGCTAAGTTACGAAAAATAGCTGAAAAACCATACCTCACTCGTCCGATTTGGTGGAGAATGGAGGGGGAACGAGCGGTGAGAAAATCTGTCAAAACCGGCACGATTTTCTGCGTTTTCCGGTGGCTGCTGGCGTTGGTAACGGCTGAGCTTGGTTGGACTTGGAAGAGGAAGTGGCGGTGGTTTGATTGGGTCCGGTCTCGTCGGCCGGAGTGGAGTGTGGCGGTGGTTATGGAGATTTGAAGGAGACGGTTGGAGAAGGGGAGCACGGGAAAGAAGAAGAAATTGGGGGAGAAGAGAGAGAAGCTGAGTTTTTTAAAAAATCTGGCTTGGAAAATTACCATTTTAACC